GTATTTTGTGCTAAGCCTGTTGTAATTCATGAATTTAATTTTGAAGAAATGCAGTCTTGTGATGTAAATACAGTTGATACTGATTGTGAATCAGAAAATGTGCATTTTGATGATTTAAATAATGCTGATACTGATTCTGAATGTGCACTGAATGTGCAATTTGTTGCTGAAATGCATGTTGTAAGTGAAGAAGTATGTTCTTGTGATGATAAACCTCTTAATATTGATCTTGAATCTGAAATTCGTGCTAAATCTGTTGATACTGTGCAAATTGATGTTGAATTTGATTATGAGGTTGAAAAGAATAACACTGATTTTCTTTGCAAGTCTTTTGAAAGTCAAAAAGTTGTTGTTGATTACAAATATGTGCAGTTTTGTGAAATACATGTAGATAATACTTGTTGTGAATCAGATTGTGTGCATTATGACATTTTAGTTAATGCTGATATGATTTCTGATTCTGTTTTGTGTGTGAAAACTGCTGCTGAGCAACACTTTGATTCTTTAAACGAAAATGTTGTTATTGCTGATTTTGACAATTGTGGTCAAAATATGGTGGAGTTAGATAGAAACAGTGAAACTGAAATCTTTGTTGATGATTTTCAAATTGGTGTTGCTGCTGGGCAGCATATTAAGGAAAATTTTGAAAATTCAGTTTCTGAAATTGAAAGCAATGTTGGAACTGATTTAAATGAGAAAGATGAGATTGAAAATTACCTATTTGTTAGAGATGGAGTTAGGAAGAGTCCTATATTGTTCTCTATGTTTGGTAATTTGAAGTTATCTTCTTTAGCTTGTTGTATGTTTGATGACTTACATGTGAATGAACCTATGATTGTTAGGGAGACAAGTAATTCTTGGTATAAGTGTCAATGTTTTGAAGCTTTAAAAGAAGATATGAACTCATTATTTAAGAATGAAAATTTGAATGTAGTTCCTAAACATTATGATTGCTTTGGTGGTGATTTGTTATCATTGATTGTAAATGATATGTGCTCTAGAAAGCTTGCTGTTTTTCGTGTTTGTATATTGTGTGATGCATGTTCTTGTTGTAAGACACAATTACAATGTTTAGTAGCTTTGTTAATTGTTGAATTTGAGTATAATCCTATTGGTGAAGATACAATGCTTTGGAAAGTTGATATGTTTGTATCTTGTGTGAAAATTGTATGCTTTGATACATTTGATTAGCCGGTGCTACTTGTGTGTAGCTGTAGGTTTTATTATGTATCATATTAGGTTTTCATATTTTCTTAAACCTAACTTGATTTCAATTTTCTTTGTGCAGGAGAGTAATTCAACAATAGGCTAAAATGAACTGTTTTTTAAAATGAACTAAAATATAAGGAAGCAATGAAAGTTCGGACCGTGATGACACCCGAGAAAACAATCTTCCACGCCCAAAATAAGGTGGAGATTTGTTATATATTTTGGCCCGTGATAATTGAGGCCTAGAATGCACACAACCAACCCGCCCAAATTGAAGCCCGGACCCGGCAACCCACTACCCGACCCAATCTTTTGAGAGACTCGTCGGTTCGCAAGCTGCCTGGCTTTGATCCGGGCTGGACCGGTTTGAACCGGTCTGGACCGCTGGTCTGTTCTGTCCTATATATATAGGCTGATCCATTGAACCGGTTCACACTTCATTCCAGAACATACGATACATAACAGAACCTTCTCGCGATTCTTCTCTCATGCCCTAGGCGATTCCTTCGTCATCGCGTCTGCCTTCTCCGGTGAATCTGTCCGGCGAGTTGGGAGTTCCTCTTCCCCGTTGATGCGCGCCTCTTCCCTCGGTGTTTCTACGGTTTGGTTTAATCGATTTGTGCCTTTATGTGTGTCTCGCGATGTATATGCTGTTCGCGGTGTGATAGGCTTGAAATCGATTGTGTTTCCGTAGATAAGGGTTCGGGTTTGTGTGTTTGTTGCGTTTCCGTGGCGTGTCGTTTGTAGTTGGGTCTTGGATGTGTGATTGATGTCGGTTGGTTTGATATTAGGGTAAACTGAGTTTGAACTGTTGCTTCCGTAATAAATCAAAGTTTTCTTTAAGTTTTCTTCGATGTTAATTTGATTTCGAGAGAATATAGCCTATTGGATCTTGGATTAGTAGTAACACAAACAATGATACACATAAAATAAATAGAGGTATATCAATAGAATAATTTAAATAAACGGAATGTGTTATAAGTATATAAAACAACGTTAAAGGTATTTGAATATATATTTTAGGAGCATATCAAATTTACAACTATATAGATTGAGATAGAAAAATATGAAATGAAGACTGCAGATCAATTTTTTCAATAATGGGAACTGAATTGAACTAAATATGTGTGACAGGAGTTTTCTTTAACTCCCCCTTTAATTCATTCAATTAATATTATGTATGTGTTTTTTTTTTCAAAATTATTTATTGTGTTAATTTTAATTTTTACTAATCAATTTTTTATTTTTATTGTATATATGTTTTTTTAAATTGATTTGGTTTTGCTTATATTATTCTAATACATTTTTATTTTGTATATTATATTTAAATTTTGAGTCTTTTGATTTGAAAAAATATTTAAAAAATTCATACAGAAAATTACGATAAGTTTTAAAATATAAAACTTTTTATTTTTATTATAGTAGTTTCTTTCCTATAGTGTATGTATTTTTTTAATTATCTGTTTTGTTAATTTTATTTTTTACAAATCACTCATTTCGTCACGTATACCATATAATATTTTTTATTTGGTCTATTCTACATATCTTGCAACGTTTACAAAATAGGAAATAATCGACTATACATCATTCAAATAAAATATATATCCAATCAATTCTTCCATTTACTTCAAATTTTATTTTATGTTTGTTTTGTGTTTTAATTTGAAGAATTTTTTTTTTTTTTTATTTGAGGTATAGAGAATTACGTAGATAATATAAAAATAACTCATGTGTATTTGTCTGTGGGTTTAGATTTTTTAATTTGAATTTTTTAATGGTAAAAAGTTGAATTGGAATAGTTGTTTAATATGATATAAATATAAATTGATTTGATATTTGAATATAAAATAAATTTATAATATAATATAAAAATAAAAAAGTAATTGTTTGATTTGATATATTTAAAAGGAAAAAAATCTGAATAATAAAAATTTGGGCTAAAACCCACAAAAGAACATAAACAATGTTTATAGTATATTACTAATATTTTTGAAAAATAAATTTTTCTGCAAAAAAAAAAAAAAAAAAAAAAAAACTTATTTTTCTCTAATTTTAACTCCATTTCAACATACTTTATTTTTTCATCAATATTTCACATATATTCTTTATTTTTAAACAATTAAATAATTCTTATTTATTTATATATTAATTCCAAAAATATTTTTTTAATAAATTCAAATTATATCGACAATTTTTTAAATACTAATAATAATAAATTATTTAATTTCATTTTTTATATGAAAAAACTAATTATTTAAAAAGTAAATAAAATAAAAAATTATGATGAAATATTACTACAATAATATAAATATTTCAACTTTTATGTGTAATATTTATACTATTATTTATTTATATATAATATTATATATTATGTAATAATTTAAAAAAGAAAGGAAATCCAACCCAAACTTATACAAACCATACATATTAATTCAAAATTAAATAAACCAAATATATAGATATAAGCTAAAAATTAAAATTTTGTTTCTGTCTTGTATCATTTTAGTTTGTAATTGGAGTATGTCGTAAACGTGAAAATTTTTTGCACTTTTAGTCCTTCGGCGCCAGAGATGCCTACGTCTACATAGTTCGTCGGAGGACACGTGGATTTTTTATAAATTTGTTTTTTTTTAAAAAAAATATTTATTTATTTTGTCTTTTTTAAAAATTAAAATTTATCAAAAAAAGTTTAAAATTTAAAATTAAAAAAATAATAACAAATAAATATTCACATATCCGCCAAGTGTAACTGATCTGGCGGGGACATATGTCCTTCCACGAGCCACATGTAAGCCACGTAGGCATCACCGACGCCAGAGGACTAAAATTGTGAATTCACTTACAAGATTAATTTGCAATATCCTCCAATTACAAAATTAAAATGATAAAATATTTTAGTTACGGAACTCGGAAATCAATTTATCGAAGGGAAAAAAAACTTGCATTCCTCCAAATTTGGAGAAGAAAATGGAGACGGCTGGATAAAATATTGCTTCATTAATGTTTTTAGATTTTTTTATTACTAACTCGTCCGACTCTAAGGTCTCATTTACTTTTTGCGTGTTGATATTTGAATATTAATTATTATATCAAAATATAGTACAAATTAAGAAAAAATTTTAAAAATACTTACATTAGTGTCTTATGATACTAATAAAAAGATATTTGTACAAAAAAAATATATACAAATATAAAAATATTTTTAATATTAAATATAATGATAAAAAGAAAATTAAATATGATCATTAGAGGCTGACAGGGGAAGTATTATTATTCTCAAGACCAATACAAAATTTCAAAGAATGTGTTTGTTTGTTGGGTTTTTTATTTTACTACTAAAATTTTAAATTACAATAATTATTTGATGTAACATAAAAATATATTGATGGGATGCATTGAATGTAAAATTAACTTTAATGTAATATGAAAAAGAAAAATAGAATATTTAATTGATTTTTTTTAGATATATAAAAAAAAAAATATTGAATACTAGGTTAAAAACTTTAAAAACTCCAAAAACCAAAAATACTTAGGAAACATGTCAGGTAAAAATGACTTGGTAGCGTGAAATAAATTTGCGACTTTGAACTCACGGATTCAAACTTCCGTCGCTTTTATATATTTTCAATTGTCTTGACGAGGGTTACCACGTATTATACATATATAAAACACTTAGGGAACTTATCTAGAAAGTTATATAAAATCCCCTTTATTATCTTGTTTGTAGGGGCTCCCATGTCTTATAGTGACTCTTTTTCTCAACCATACATTGGCACTTTTGCTTTTGTCAAATCCTACATTGCCTATATTGTCCTAACACTCTCAATTATATATGATCACTAATCTTATCATCCTCTTCTAAACCTCCCATCCACAAAAATTCCAATGCCAAACGACGATCGTCGGCAATCGGAGTTACGATCCTTCGACAACACCAAGGCCGGCGTAAAAGGCCTAGTGGACGGCGGCGCCTTTGTGATTCCACAAATCTTTGTCCATCCGCCTCATCATCTTGATGGAATCACAGCAAAATCTTGCTTAAGCCAACAAGTCCCCGTAATTGACCTCGACGGGTTCAACAAAGATCCCCAAAGACATAAAGCTATTCTCGAGGAGATCTTGCGCGCATCGCGGACATGGGGATTTTTTCAAGTGGTCAACCACGGTATATCCACGAGCACGCTTGAAGCCACGTTGGATGGTGTCCGTAGATTCCACGAGCAAGATGTGGAGACTAAGAAGAAATATTACACTCGAGATTATACTAGGAAGATGTTGTACAATAGCAACCATGATTTGTACACCTCGCCCGCGGTGTGTTGGAGGGACTCGTTTAATGTTATCGTTGAACCCGGTCCACTAGAGCCCGAGGAACTACCGGAGGTGTGTAGGTAAGTCGCAATCTTTTTAAATTATTAGCTTGTAGTTAAGAGTGTGTTTGGTTATCAGTTGGATTGTAGTTCTAATATGCTCTCGAGTCTTTTAATCTCAAATTTTTAAAATTTTTATTTTTTAAAGTTAAATCTACTTATATCTCATATTTCTATCTAATTCTTTATATATATATATATATAAATAAAGGTCACTATTTTTTTATAAAATTAATTTATGTAAATTGTGTATTAATATATATTATTCTTTCCGTCATAATTTTTTATGTCATATTGCTGTATAGGAAAATTTTAAAATAATAGTATTTTAATATATAAATAAAATGGGAAGACTAAAATGAGGTATTACGATAAATTTATTAAAAAATTGATAAATATATATATATATGTGTAAATTGGTTATTATTTTTTAAAGTAGGGTAATAAATTAAATTGTGAGTAGATATAGTTGTTTATTAAAAATAGATTATGCATAAGTTTAGCAAATAATAATAAAAAAAAGTGGCATAATTAAATATATTTGTTGAAAAATATTTCAATATATATTTTTGATTTATTTAAATGTATGTATATAATACAATCATTAACTAAACATCTTATTTCAAAAAGTACAATGGAACTTTTAACCACAATCTCAACTTATAACCAAACAAACCTACTTTCCATGAGTTTCATTTACCTAATACGAAATTATAGGGACATTTTGTCGAGATATTCGAAGGAAGTAATAGAGCTCGGGACTAATTTGTTCAAGTTGCTATCCGAGGCTCTTGGACTCGATCCAAACCATCTCATAGATATCGATTGCGCACAAACTTTAGCACTCTTCGGGCACTATTACCCGGCATGTCCCGAGCCCGAACACACATTAGGCACGAGGAAACATTCCGACTATAGTTTCTTGACAATTCTTCTGCAAGACAACTTGGGAGGTCTCCAAGTGCAACACCAAGGCGAATGGGTGAATATTGTCCCGTTGGCAGGAGCTTTAGTCGTTAACATAGGCGATCTTCTACAAGTAAGTGTTGTTATTACAATTTGTTGTTTTTCTAAGTCCTTCAATTAGAAATGATTCGGTTGTGTTTGTTTGAAGGTTTGGATTTTGAGTTGAGATTTGAATAGTAAAAATTTTAAATTTGAATAGTTGCACGATGTGATATAAATAGGTGTTGATGTGATGTTTTAAATGTAAAATTGATTTTTAGTATAATATAAAAAATAAAAAATAGGTGTTTGATTTGATATTTTTTGGAGAAAAAAATAAGGATGAACAGTGGATTTAAAATCCAATCCCCCAAACAAACACACCCATAACCCTTCATTGTATTTTAGTAAAAATGCATAAAACGCCTTATGTTTTATTTATTATATGAAACTCTTTTGTGTTAATGTAATGTTTGCACGAAACACTCTTCTTATCTAAAGCTGATTTTGGTTCTAAATAAAGACCTAAATTAAGCAAGTTTTATACAAATAAAAAACATAAAACATCTTAAATAATGTTTTTGAATAAAATAAATAAATAAATAATTGATCAATAATTTATTTTTATAATTTTTGTAAAAAAATCAGATAACAATGTCTCCAAAAAACTATAAAATGAAGGATTAATTAGTTATTCATTTATTTATTTTATTAAAAAAAATATTTAAAATATTTTATTTCTTTTATTTGTATAAACTTGCATTATTGGGTTAATATTTACAATCAAATATCAGTTTTGGACAGTATTTCGTGCAAACTTTACAGTAACACAGAAAGTTTCACGTAATAAATAAAACACTGCATTTTCTTTTTTTACTAAAACAAAAGTGAATGTAATATAATTTACCCTAGAAATAATTTAAAAATAATTTAAATTTGACTTTAATTTCAGCTGGTATCGAATGACAAGTTAAGAAGTGTGGAGCATCGTGTAGTTGTCAACCGCCGTGGTCCAAGGGTATCAATGGCGGCTTTCTTTGGGAGAGATACCGTAGGAGTGAACTCAAGATCCTACGGACCGATTGGGGAGCTCTTGTCGGAAGAAAATCCTCCAAAATACCGCGCAACGACTATTAGAGGATACACAAGTTACTTTCACAATAAGGGGGGTGATGGCATTTCGCCTTTAAAACATCTTGAGCTTTAAATATGTAAGGGTGTGTTTTATGGTTTCTGAATAATAAAAAAATTGAATTAAAAAATAGTTGAAAACAAATCAGTATTTGAATTTCCTAGGTATTCATTTTCTTTTTGCACATAGTTTTAAAAATAATAGTATTATACTAAGATGTAGTAGGAATAAAGTAAAAATGACTAAAATAACTTTATTAGTATGGTGTGATATAAATGTAATGACATTTGTGTAATATATTGTAAGTTGTAAGGGTATTTGTAATGTTAGGTAGATAGTACAGTTACTAAAAAAAAATGAAATAGATACTTTGTTATGGGACGGATTAAAATGGAAAAATGTATACTTTGTTATGGGACAGAAGGAGTATTATATAATTGGTGTGTTTAATGTTTGTTTGTGATTTGAAATTTAAATTAATTATTCATTCAATATAATTTTCAATAAAAAATACTTTGTCCATTCGTCTCAACTCAAAGTACTTTTTTTTATTATTTTCGTTTGTCTCGTTCAAACGTATTCATTTTTTAATTTAGTAAAAGTAATCATACACTAATACCAAAATAACTTTAACTTTTACCTAAATTACAAATATATCATAACACATATAATTAATTTATACAAAAGTCAAAAAAAATGTCAAAACTTTTTACACATTTTCATTAATTAATAAAATACTACTAATATTATTTTTTAATTTATTATAAAATTCTAAAAAATCTATTTGAAGTGCCATCTACTTCGGGTGTGTTTGTTTGGGGGTTTGGATTTTGAGTTGGGATTTGAATAGTAAAAATTTTGAATTTGAATAGTTGTATGATGTGATATAAATAGGTGTTGATGTGATGTTTTGAATGTAAAATTAATTTTTAGTATAATATAAAAAATAAAAAATAGATGTTTGATTTGATGTTTTTGGGGGGAAAAAATTGGATGAATAGTAGAATTTTGTTAAAATTTGACAAACGAACACACCTTCTTCGACAAGTCATTACTTTGGTAAGATTAACGTAAAAATGATCTAATAATTTTTTTCTATTTATTTAATATAGAATTTCTATGCTCTTCAAGAAAAATATACTATTTTTTAAAAAAAAAAAAAAAAACATCAAATCATTATACAAATACAAGCATAAATACAGTTGCTTTCGATTTATTCATATTATTTAGAGAAATGTTTTTATCTAAAAAAAATATTATATCTAATTCTTAATTTATATTAAAAAATAAATATTTAATTTAATTTTTATGGAAATAAATTTTCTGAATAATAAGAATTTACAGCAAAACCTACATATATATAATGATATAATATACATATTTGAGCTCAATAAACAACAAGTCAGGATGGCCGAGTGGTCTAAGGCGCCAGACTCAAGTTCTGGTCTTCGTAAGAGGGCGTGGGTTCAAATCCCACTTCTGACAATTTTTTCGATTTTAATTTGACTGCGACTTTATGTCAAAACTACCAACAGCATGCCTGTAAAGACTGACCAAATTCAACCTACCAATTAAATAATATTTTAACAATATATAAGAAAAAAAATAAATAAAGACATAATTATATTGAAAATATTTTTTTTGAATTTGAGTTTTCTTTTCTTTTTTTTTTTTTTTTTTTTTTGCTTTTTCTATTTTATTATAATATTCTAATAAAATACATAAATTTTAATATAAATTTGGTCTGGTTGGATTCAAAACCAATTTTGAGTTAAATTTTAACAATGGTAAAGATATTTAGTATCTGTCCGATCTATAATGTGTTATCGGTATACTTTGGGTCAAGTTATAATTATATTGAAAATATTTTTTTTAATTTGAGTTTTTTATTATTATTATTATTATTATTATTATTATTATTATTATTATTATGTTTTTAATAAAATACTTAAAATTTTGATGTAAATTTGATCTGTGTGGATTAGAGACCAATTTGAGTTAAACTTTTTAAAAATGGTAAAGATATTTAGGATCCGTCAGATCTATCATGTCTTATTGGTATACCTCGGGTCAAGTTATAATTATATTAAAGATATTTTTTTAAAATTAAAATTTTTTTATTATAATATTTTTAATGAAATACATATATTTTGATGTAAATTTGGTTTGTCAGGATCCGAGATTAATTCTGAGTTAAATTTTTAAGAATGATAAACATATATAGGATTTGTTGAATTTGGATCTATCATGTCTTCTATTATGTCTTATCGAGTATACATCATGTTAGATCAATATAATCTAATTTGGGTATAGGTTGATCAGATTCGGATCTTGAGTTTAATACTCCCTCCGTCCCGGAACTATAGTCTTGGTTGTATTGGGCACGAGATTTAAAGAATATTGATATTATATTGATAATGGGTAAAAAGTATAAGTAAAAGACATTTTTGCCCTTGTGACTGTATTAGTGTAAAAGATTGTAGCAATTGTGTAATAATAATGAAAGAGTAAGGATAGTTATGTAGTGATATGGTTATTTATGAAAATAAGACTATTGTTTTGAGACGGACAAAAATAATAAACAAGACTATTGTTCTGAGACGGACAAAAATAATAAACAAGACTATTGTATTGAAACGAATGAAGTAATATTTATTTGAATTGGATATCGGATCTAAAAATAGTGACCGTGAGATCATGGGTTCAAAAACCCCCGACGTCTCAGGTCACCTGCCACACATGGTTCATCTATGACTTGTTTGTCGGGCCTAATTTGCAAGATATTAAGTTCGGCCACGAATTTATCTAATATACACTCTCGGGTAGCGGCTGCGAGTTCCCACGTCATAATAACAATAAAAAAAAAAAAAAATTGTGTGAAAGTGAACTTGTGTAAAATGATTGACATTTTTAAGTTTTGCATATGTATAAATTATATATTTATAATTTATATAAAATTTAAAAATATTTTAGAATTAATATATAATTATTTTTATAGATACTTTTAAATAAGACAAAAAAAAAAATAAAAAGAATATTTTCAATTAAAATGAAAGAAGTTTTTAAAATTTAAAAGCCGCACATAGAAGACAATCAATAAAAATAATCTTTTAATTTTTTTAATAAAAAATTCATAAAATATAACTATATAAAAATGAAACAAAACTTTAATAAACTAAAATTAAATATTAAAAGAATTCAGCTGGGCCCGGACTAACTGTACTTGGTCTTGAGTTTTCAGACCAATTAAAATCCAGCCTGGGCCTGTCGGACACGAAAGAGCCCATTAGGCCCAAAAATGCCATCTCTACTTTCAAATTTCTAATGTAATGTGTATATACCGCGTCTAATAGTATCCTTTTTCTTTTTCATATTTTTTTTAATCATAAAATCTATTTATTCATTTCCTTCATTTTAAAATAAGATAAATAAAATAACTCACAAGTTAATAGACTCAATATCCTTAGGGTGTGTTTGTACGGGAATTGGATTTTAAATACATTATTCATTTTATTTTTTTCAAAAATATCAAATCAAACACTTATTTTTCATTTTTTATATTATATTAAAAATCAATTTTACATTAAAAACATCACATCAACACCTATTTATATCGCATCATACAACAATTCAAATTCAAAATTTTTACTATTCAAATCTCAATTCAAAATCCAAACCCCCAAACAAACACACCCTGTCTATCCATCTCACTATTCATGAAAAACTCTCAAAAGTTTCTCAAATTCAAATCTAATTCAAATTTGAACTAAAATTTTTCAACCAAACCCCAAAGAAACGCACCTTTAATACTCGGAAATATCCATCATTCTCTCATATGATATGTTTGACAGCACAAGTAGGCGAAGCCAGTAGCCGAAGCATTGTTGTCGTCGCATCTTTGAGACAAGTTTGACACCATTGTTGTTCTTGGTGTTTACTATAGCCAAAACCTTGGTGTCATTCTCGAGACCTTTCTTCACAATTTCCTTGTCGACATGAATTCCTATACCTTCATCACATACCTTTTTGGCGCCACCATGTATTAATATTTTGATCTATAAGAAAGAAATAGATTCATAATGTAAAGGCATTGAAAATTGGCAAATAACTTAATAATACGTTCGGATCCTCAGGCCCCAAATATATATATAGATATATATATACACACAGATTTAATTACCCTACCTCCAATGAATTGTGCTATTTGTATACCCATCAATCACTTTCTGCTATGTATATTTAAATTTTTTATGTATTAATATTTTATCTTAAAAATACATATACCGGAAAGTTATTGATCGATAAAAAAAGAACACAATTTATTGGAAGTAGGATAACTGAACCCATAGATACACATATAAATACATATATACATACAAGTATATGTGTGTTGGGACTGTGGGAGCGGGGATCATTGGAGGGCCGAGGATCCCCTCCCATAAAAGATAGAGAAATAAATACCGGCAAATTTTTTGTTCTTGCAAATTAGAAAAATAACAAAGAAAGAGAAAATAAAAAATTGAACCCTTGATTTTTTGCGATTATTTCCAAGCATAATCTAACGATAATCAATCTCATAAAAAAATAAAATAAATAACCCTATAATCAATAGATTGCAAAGGCATCCACAAATATTGCATAATACTATCCAATCTTTCAATTTTCCTCTAAGAGCATCAAATACAACAACTATTTAATATAAACAAACATCAAAATCTAAAACACGAACGCACACTTCAAAAAAAAAAACACCAAAAGAGCACACCCTTTCGTGTATTCGTAACTGGAAAAGATTTTCTGAGGTTATCTTTCAACATTGGCCAATTAAATTCAAAAAAATAAAAGACCTTGTTCAATAATTTGGCACCTTCAGCTGAAGCCATAAGTATTTTATAACCAGTTTGCATCTTGTATTTTTAACCATCAAGCTTTAATCTCTAACAAAGATATTCAGACATTCATACATCTAAAAAACCAGCATGTTTTAAAATAATCATAGCTCCTATGTACAACAACACACAATCCAATCATTAAATATAGAAGTTTCTTTTAAATCGATTTTATTACCATTTAACACAGAGAAATGTTAAGATTAGTGGGTAACCACACCTAACAAACACACCCACAATTCGATGGAAATTCTCTACAACCTTTAGTAATTTCATCAAACTATCGAGAATTTCAAACCAAGCATACCTGATTAGATGATGGAAAATAGGAATATGAAGTGTAAGAACATCACCGAGCTCGATAGAATAATTTATCTTGTAAAGATGGATGAGCAGTGGCCAATAATAATAATCATAAAACAGAGGAAACCAATGAGGCTTTAGCTATCGGCTATGGTATGACAGTGACTTACCTGGTTTACCCGGTGGAAGCCGATGGGTTGAGAACAGAAGCCATGGCTGTGCAGCACCGAGACTCGGCTGCGCCTTTACTACCCGAGGATCACATTGTGTGTAATAGACCTAGAGTATGAAACACGATTATTATGTTTCCTGATTAGTAAGCAATTGCAAGCAAGTAGAGGATTTAGATACTCTTTATTAGACCTAATGTGTCGAACAATAGAAATTAAAACATATATATGTTAGGACTAGTCTGACTTCAACCAGTACGATATTGTCCGCTTTAGGATTAAATCATGTCAAGAAGGAATTCGAAATTCCAACTTAAAACTAATTAATACTCCCTAGGTCCAATTTCTATTATTCTAAAGTATATTTGCACGGTTTTTCAGGTGATTGTTTTTTTGTTATGAATTGACAAATTTGCCCTTAATTGTATGGTAGAGATTAAAAGTAATAAATGAATGATGGGCAAAAATATAAAATTTGTGTTTAAAAAAAGGAAATAGGACAATAGTTGTTGGACGTCTCAAATAGGAAAATAGAATATTAGTTTGTGGACGGAGGGAGTATTAAACGGAATAATCCTTCACCCTTATAAGCTAAAAAAGTCATAACATTTTTCCAATATGGGATACTCTCAACACTCCCCATTTGAAATGATGTTATCTATAAATCCTATTCAGGATCATTACACAATGGGATATTGTCCGTTTAGGGTTAAGTCCGCAAGGATGAGATGACATTATCTCGCAATGCTAATCAGGATTATTACACAATGGGATATTGTCCACTTTAGGGTTAAGTCCGCAAGGATTTGTTTTCGAACTTCTTCAAAAAGCTTTATACTATCTAGAGTTGGATGTTAACTTATAACCATTTTCTTTTTCTTTTTATTTTCCAATGTGGACTTGAGGTTGTCATTTTATAATATTGTCCATTTTGGGCAAAACTCGATGGATTTGCTTTTGAACTTATCAAAAAGTCTCTATATTACGAAGTTAGATGTTAACTTATAACCAATGACTTTTTCCGTTATGTTTTCAATCTTAGACTTGATTTTGTCTTTTCCGGTGTGTTCTTTTTAACAAACTTTATCATAGTTTTACTATTCATTAAAAATTTTCTATCCGAAAACATCAATTAAAGATATATTTTTCACTTGCTAAAAATTAATTTTTCATCTAAAATATATTATCAACACGTATTTCTATCACATGACTATTAAAATTCAAATTTTTTCCAATTCAAATCCCAAACCAAAATCCAATCCCTAAACAATCACAGCCATAGTGAAGGGTTTTAGATCATCAGTATGGATCATTATCTAACTTACATTGAATGAAGAACTAGATTCTCTACCAGACTTTTACTCTTATTTCAACTGGGAATTTCGATTATACACAATAAAATTTGTGGAACAAAAGCTTGTAATCTAATACTACTATATAACACAATTAATTTCAACAAACATCAGACAATTCAAACCCTAAATAGTATATACCATATCAGCAAAATTGATTACAAAAAATTCAACGTAAGGACTGAACTTACAAAGCCTCCGCCGAAACTGTAGAAGCTTCTCTATCTTGGAGAACGACGTCGAAGACCGGAGCAGACAAATACGAATACGACTGAGAAGACAGCGACGGCGGCAACGGTAGGAAAGGAATTTTTCGTCAGAAGAAAGGCGAGAAAACTGAAGAAGAAGATGAGAAAAGAAACGGGTAGGCCCAGATGCGGGCTGACCCGAGAGGCCCGTCTGGGTCGACCCGTTTAGATATGCCTTCTCATCGGGCGGGCTAATTTTCGAAAGATTAATTGGGCCGGGCTCGATTTTAAGAGATCGACGAATGAGATAATAATGTTCCATTTATTTATTTGTGAAATGGTTGAAAAAGAAAAAAATAAATTATGTGAGTTACAAAGAATTATGTAAAGACTAAAAAAATAATAAATATGTATAGCGTATTAATTTTTTGGAAAGAATGTGTAAAAAAAAATATAGAAAAAATATATGTGGTGTTTGCTTGACGTGTTTATATTCTTTTACTATTTATTAAATGTTTTATATTCAAAATTTTCAAATCAGATAATTAATTTTTATTTTTTATTTGACATTAAAAATAATTTTATATTCAAAATTTTATATCAAAAACAATTGCATTATATCAAACAAATACTCCATCTGTTCCATTGGGGGTAGTATTTGCTTTTTGCAGGTAGATTTTTGAATATTAGTATTATATTGAATTGTAGTAAAAAAGACAAAAATACCCCTAGTATGGTGTAAAATAAAACTAATGGCATATGTGTAATATATTGTAAGTTTGAAATGGTATTTATTATATTAGGTAGGTAGTACAATTACTAAATTAAAAAATAATAATTTTATTTTAGGACGAACAAAAATATAAAATAGTTACCTTTGAATGAGACGGTAGAAATACTACATTTCTATTCAAATGCTTACTATTCAAAAATCAAACAAAAAAGTTTAATGTCCAACCAAACAAACATACAGTGAATTATGTGGTAGCACCAATTTATTATGCATTATTATTTAGAGTGTGTTTTCATCTTCTTTTGGATTTGAATTTTTAATTTAAATAATGTTTTGATATTATAAAAAATAATATTGTCTATATCCCGATAAAGATGAAACTTTTTATTTTGGACACGAAAATTTAGTTGATATAAACTAGTTATTTAGACGGTGAGAATTATTTATTAATTTTTAAAAAAATTAAAATATATATTTAGATATTTTTTAACATTATATCTCAATAAAATATATGAATATTATTTTGTAGAGAATAAAATTTTATATAATATAAATAAATAAAAAATAATTATATTTATTTATTAATAGTATAAATTAGTTTTATAAAAATCAGAGAGTTTTAAATGTAAATAAAAATATTTGTAGAGAGTTTTAATTAAATTAAATTTATATTTGTTAAGTGTGTTTAAAATTGATAAATTTACAAAAAAAATAATAAATAAAAAAATAGAAAGAAGTTATGGGACCGCAAGAAAAAAAATATATATATAGAAATTGTAGCGGGACGGAGTGAGTATATTTCTATGAGAGTAGTAAAAATTGCATATAAAAAATTAAAATTGAATACAAAGAAAACAAATGGTTACTGTGGAATGCCATAATTGATATGAGTTTTTTGGATTTTAATTTGGCATTGAGATTTTTATTTGGGTTTTATTCCATTATGGGTTTTGTTTGTTTCACTTATTATTATTATTATTATTATTATTATTATTATTATTATTATTATATTATTAAAAAACAAGTGTAAAAAAGAAGTTGACATCTTAATGTGTAATTATTTTAAATATTAATTTTAATGTATAATTATCTTTAATTAATCATAATTATTTTTATTAATATATTTTTTAATTGCTTATTAATTACATCATATTTAAAATTCTATGTCCAACTAAGGTGGACAAATTAATTGGGACGAAATGAGTAATAAATAATACTACAAAAAACTTTTTATAAAAATAAAAAATTTAAAATAAACTTTAAAAATACTCATTATAAAAAGTCAAAAAGTAAAATATTAACTTAAAATAATATATATTTTATATTTTTGACACAATTTTTTATACCACACATAAAAAATCAATTCATTTAAAAACGTTGCATCAACAGAGCCACTATATATTCAGAGTCCTGATTTTTTTTTTTTTCAACGGTATTTTGTAAAACAAAAAATAATACTCCCTCTGTCTCAACTCAAATTATATTTTTTACCTTTTTGTCTGTCTCATTCGAAAGTATTTTTTTTCTATTTTTTAAAAAATAATTATACAGTAATACCAAAATACCTTTAATTTTTACTTAAATTATAAACATACTATTACACATACAATAACATTATACATAAAGTCAAATGACAAAATGACAAATCTTCTTACACACTTTCATTAATCAATAAAAGCAGGTGAATATAATATTAATAGTTTGCAAATACTATATTTCTTAATTTATTACAAAACTCCAAATGATTCGTTTGGATTAGGGCAGAGGGAGTATTAATTTTATTCATTAGAATTATATCTCTCTTGAACAGAAAGAATATATTTTTATAGTTCTTGTATTCTACTTGAATGTACTTCTTTAGAGTTTTGTAATAAATTAAAAAATAATATTTTATTAGTTAATAAAATTATCGAAGAAATTTTGATATTTTTATCGTTTGATTTTATATATAAAGTATTGTATGTGTAATGATATGTTTGTAATTTGAGCAAAAATTAAGAAACTTATGATATTAGTATATTACTATTACTTTTCATAAAATATAAAAAAAAAAAAAAAAATTAGATACTTTTGAATAAGACAAACGAAAATAGTACAAATTATACTTCGAATTGGGATGAGGCAGTGTAGAAAATTATACTTCATCCGTAAACGAGTAAACTTCTCATTTTATCATTTTAGTTTGTCCAAATTAAAATTTCTCATTTCCTTTAAAATATATAAAATAAAATAATTCTAAACTAAATACCAAAATACTTGTACTTTGTATTTTTTTTCACATTATTTTTACTTTTAAAATTAAGGGTAAAATGAGTATTACACTATTTAAAAAATATTAATTTAATTTAATACAAAAGTCAAATCTGAAGTAAACAAAGGGAGTATCTATTATTTTCTTTATTTAGTAAATTTTGTAGGTTTTGTTGAGGACGAATATGAAAAAAATAATTATATTTAATGTTAAAAGTGGATAGACAAAAAGTAAAAAGGTAATATTATAAAAAATTTATTAAATAATTAATAAAAAATAAAGAAGTAAATAAAAAAATAATGATAAATTAATTATTATTGGTTAAAGTAAAAATAATAAAATTATAATTATATAAAATTATTTATTATAAATAAATTTGTACATAAATTTAGTAAACGAATAATAAAAAAGTAATGATATAATTTGGCAAAATAGCAAAAATAAACTTCATCGTTTTTTCGAATTAGCTGAAAACTTCTCGGGTTCTAAAATTTCAAAAACCCTAGTTATGGTTTCTAAAATGCTGCACACTCACTCCTCTCTAAATTTTACTACAGGACGTTAGTTTTATCATTGATCATTATACTCTTATTTATATATTTTTTTATTTATTTATTTCTCTTACTATTCTTTCTTTTCTCTTCTTCCCAGCGGCACCAAACTTTCCTTTCTTCATTTTTTTTCTTCTCCAAATTCTTTTTCACGGTGCACACCAAGCTCTTTATCTTCTACTTTTTTTCTAATTTGTTTTTCTTCTTTCCCAATTCTTCTTCATGTCGTCGCAGCCCCACCAGATTTTTTCTTTTTTCTTCTTTTTTCCTTTTTTTTTTTTTGGTTCTTCTTCGTCTCCGATTCTTTTTTTGAAAAATAAAAAATTAAAAAATAATAAGAATGAAGAAGTCGACGCTAGCGGTGGTTGGGCGGCTGCAACAAGCAGCAATTGCAGTCAGACGGACATAAGCAACTGGAGCAGGGAAGAAAGAAGGAAGAAGAGAAAAAGAAAAAAGAAGAGAAAGAGGAAGGAAAAAAAAGAAAGAAGAAGAACCAGGTTGGAGGGGATTGAATCATGCCAGTTTTTTTTTTTTTTTTTCCAATTTTCTTTATATTTCTTTTTTTCTCTCCAATTCTTCTTTATTCCACAATTCTTTTTAACGCCACCGCAGCCAGGTTCTTTCTCTTCTTCTTTTTCCTCCTTGTTCTTCACAGTCGCCGCCGGTTTGAATCAAATTTCTATTTGAACTGTATCCGCCGGTTCAAGAACAAGAGAATGGAGGCTTTGACCCAGATGGGAAAATCAGGATATCAAATTAATTTCTTAGATTTTTGGTTTGGTGAAACAGGGGAGGAATCGATGGTGAGCAATAATTTACGCATTCTCGTCTCCATCTCTATATCCGGTCGATTAATTGTGTTATAAATTTGGGATCGATTTCAAATTTGATTGTGTTTAGCGAATCTAAAACGAATAAAGAAAACGAATAGAGATTAAATTTTAAAAATATATAGAAGAGAAAAAGAAGGAGAAGAAGAAGTTGCCGTAAAAAGTACGGTAATTTTATACGTAAATATATCAGTTATGAAAAAAAAAAAAATAGCATTTCAATCACGTGATATTCAACCTCTATTAAATAGCTTAGGCCATCTCCAACCTCGCCATTATTGGTGTTGGGTTGGTGGATTTGGTGTCAGTTGGCTCCAACCAATGTCAAATTTCATGTCAATTTTTGGCGTTGCACTGTATAATACCAATTTTTGGTAAATTAAAAAATAATATTACCTTTGTCGGTTGTAAGGATCTTATTTACTTTTTGCGTGTTGATATTTGAATATTAATTATTATATCAAATTATAATATAAATTAAAAAAAAATTTGCTAACGGGAGAATAATATTTTATGAATCGGTGAAATATAAGATGATTTTGATATAATTTTTTTGTGTATTTTATGTATAAATTAATTGTATTTATAAATAGTATATTTGTAATTTATGTATAAATTAACGAATATTGTGATATCAGTATGTATTTATTTTTACTATAATAAAAAATTATTTTTTAATAAAACAAATAAAAATGATAAAACGAATATTTTTTATTGGAAAATAAATATATATATTTTTTTTTTGTAAATTACAGAATACAACTAATAAA